AACCCACGGGCTCAGGCAATCCACTCACCTCAGCCTCCCAAAGGCACAGGATTACAGGCTGAGCCACCGAGCCCGGCTCAGTATCTTGTTTTAAAGAAAAAGTTTATTTTTCATTCAGGCAAAGTCCAAGAGACTCTCCCAAGTGGCTGTCCTCCTCCCAAAATACTTTCAATAATAGGACACTTCATGTTGACACAGAATTTCCTTACTCCCAAAGCAACCAGGTTGGAACCTTGAGCAGAGTCAATTAAATGATCCCTCTGGGAAGTGACAGACATCTCTTTCCTTCATTTCTTTTTCTTGCCTTCTTTAAGGCCAGTCACACAGGTGTGCTTCGGGGCATTTCCTGTGTGCTTGGAAATAGAAAGCCCGAATATTGGTGAGCTGTAATGAATATGGCAGGTTAAAAAAAATGGTATCTCGGTGGTTTCAACTAGCATTTTGGTTTTGATTGGCATGTGGCTTTAATTAGCATTGCTGTTCTTGAGTATCTGCTGCCCTTTTTTTCCTGCAGGAAATGAGAGTATAGATGCTACATTCAGGCGGTTGGATGTCCACGTAAAAGAAATAGAGAAAATCAAGGAAGACTTGAGGCAATGTAAGTTATCCTGTGCCCTGCTGTTTCTGACCGTCCTCAAACTAGAAGTCATCAGCTTATTGGAACTCTAGCCTTCTCCCTCCCCCACCACCCACCCCCGACTACTTTCCTTATCCATTTTTCTGTGCTGGATGACTGGAAGCAACCCACAGATTTGGGGATATGCTCATGGCTAGCCCAGGCTTCTGTCCATAGAGTAGCATTGAAGGAGGCTTCTCAATCAGTAAGATATCTTCTACCACCAGTTAACATGCTAAAAACTTCTATAAATAACTTCATAGCTTCAGTTCACTTGTTGAATTTCCACAAAGAAGTTCAAATCAAATTTTAAAATATTCATTCACTCAACAAAACTGTAACTGCTTTATACCAGAGGCTATGCATAGAGGGAACTAAGATGTAGAGAAGGACAATGCCTTCCAGGAACTCATGGCCTTGAGGTGGAAGAGGGGAGAGGAAAGACAGACAGTGAACACACAATAGCAGCGAAGTTACTGAACTTGAACGATGTCCCTAACTATCAGTTCTGAAATGACTAGACCAGATGCTAGGTGCTCAGATGCCAAGCTGGGTGGCATAGGAGTAGGAAGAACTCCAGGGTGAGGGAGATGAGGGTAAAGGCTGGAGAGACAGGCAGGATTTGAAGAGGAAGGAAAGGAAGTGCATGACATATTTCTGTTAATTGTCCAGCTGTGTCTCTACTAGTCACTCAGAGCATTGGAATCTCTCTTGTGGGTTGAGTCAGAAACTCCAAGTTGGGTGTGGTGGCTCACAGTTGTAATGCCAGCACTTTGGGAGGCAGAGGTGAGCGGATTGCCTGAGCAAGCCCATGGGTTTGAGACCAGCCTGGGCAACTTGGCAAGACCTCATCTCTACAATAAATCAAAAAATTAGCTGGGCATGGTAGTGGGCACCTGTAGTTCCAGCTACTTGGAAGGCTGAAGTGGAAGGATCACCTGAGCCCATCAGGTGGAGGCTGCAGTGGCCATGAGTGTGCCACTTGTACTCCAGCCTAAGGAAGAAAGAGGCCAGGCTCGGTGGCTCAGTCTGTAATCCCAGCGCTTTGGGAGGCCGAGATGAGTGGATTGCCTGAGCCTGTGGGTTCGAGACCAGCCCAGGCAACTTGGCAAGACCTCA